CCTGGGCAGGGCCCCATGTACAACTGCAGACCCCAGACAGATCATTACACCCCATGAGCAACTTCTCCCAGGGCAGGTGAGGGATATAAGTGGGTTCAAAGGGAGTGATTCCTGAGTTTTTATGGGACCTCTGGCATGAGAGTTTCTGTCTCTCCCTCTGGACTTGAAGGGTGGGAGGGTAATACCAGGCAACAAGCAGACCCAAAGATGGAGAAAAAGCATCCATTTGAGTGGTCTGAGGGCTGAATCCAGCTGTGCCCCATGCCACACCATCTTGGAATGATTATTCATATCAGCTGTATTAAGTTTGCTAGAGCCTGCTGTTAACAAACTGCATAAACTGGGTGGCCTGAAACAGCATAAATTAATTTCTGATAGTCCTTGCGGTCAGAAGACCAAAATCAAGCTGTAGGAAGCGCCAGACTCCCCAGTAAGACTCTAGAGGAAGACCCTTCCTTGCTTCTCCCTAGCTTAGGGTGGCTGCCAGCATTCTTTGGCATTTCTTGGCTTGTAGCAGCATAACTCCAATCTTTGCCTCTGTCATCACACAGCTTTCCTTCCTCTGTCTTCACATCATCTTCTCTTTGCACATCTCTGCACTCCAATCTCCTTCTTCTTACAAAGACATTGGTCATTGGATTAGGAGCTCACTCAAAGGACTTCATCTTAACTTGGTTACATCTGCAAAGATCTTATTTCTAAATAGGGTCACATTCACAGGGATTGGGGGTAGGGGATAGGACTTGAACATATCTTTTGGGGACACTATTCAACCCACAATATTAGTCAATAAATTCCTTCTGAGCTAAACTTCCTTGGGTTGGATTTTTGACCATTTGCACCAAGAAAGAAGTAGAATCATGACGCAGGTCCAGATCTCAGTTCACAAACAAGACCCAAAGCCACACCCTTAACCACAGGCTCAGACTGTAAGCCTCTTATACTTCTCTACCCCAAATGTCAGTGGCTCAACTTTGGGTAGAGGCCCAGGGTTAACAGGGCTTCCCAGATGGCTCAGTGGTAAAGAATCAGCTGGCCAATGCAGGAGATGCAGGATCGACCTGTGGGTTGGGAAGATCCCCTGGAGGAGGAAATGGCAACGCACTCCAGTATTCTTGCCTGGGAAATCCCATGGACAGAGGAGCCTGGAAGGCTACAGTCCATAGGATTGCAAAGAGTCAGACAGGGCTGACTGAGCACACACACCCAGTCACTGAATACATAACATGCTCAAAGAATACAGGCTTTATTGCCATCTAATTAATTAACCAAAATTCAAATAGCAAAATTGAATCGGGCATGGTTTATCATAGGGCAGCCAGCTGACAGATGACCAGGATTTTTATCTTAGAAATGAAGCTGTGGATTGTCTGCACGACTGCATTTCAAGATGTCCTCTTGATTTGAAAGCTCACCTCAGGTGGTGATGAGAAGATGGTTTCCCCCTCCCCAGACATTTAATTTCCAGAATAGAACAGCAACCACGCGTCTTTCACATGCATGGCCGTGTTTACTTCAGGGCCTGAGAGAAGCCTGTAATTTCAGCTTGTTATACTGAAAATATGAAAATAAAACTGATCTCTATAGGGTCATTTAAATGAAAACTGCTTTCTAGAGGCAAACCGAGGAAGCAAACTGATTGAAAGAGAGCACAGAGCCCTGGGCAGGAAGGGCGATGGGGTGTGGACTCAGGGCAGGAGGTAGGACCAGGGGTATCTGTAGAAATAGATGGGCACCTGTCAAAAGCCCATTTGATCTGGGTCACATGTCTGGTGACATCTTCCCCAGTTTCTCCCACTGCCTTCCAAAGTCACTTTCAAAACCACTAGACACTGACCATTGTAGCTGTTGTTTAGTCACTAAGTCATATCTGACTCTTTGCAACTCTATGGACTGTAGCCGGCCAGGCTCTCTGTCCATGGGATTTCCCAGGCAAAAATACTAGAGTGGGTTGCCATGCCCTCCTCCAGGGGATCTTCCTGACCCAGGGATTGAACCCCTGTCTCCTGCATTGACAGGAGGATTCTTTATCACTGAATCACCAGGGAAGTCCCACCCACTGACCATATTTTTCTTTGAATTCTACTTGTGTGAGTCCAAGACGATGTCTCCACACCAGACCCAGTGTACACCCATGCGCAGGAAATGGTCAGGGAAACACCTGGGGAGCCCTGTTTGTGAGAAAGCAGATTTGGGGGCTGGAGCCCTGGCACTTTCATGCAGTAAGGTAATTAGTTTCCCGTGGTTGCCACAACAGATCACTGCAAGTTGGGTGGCTTCTCACACAAATGTATCTCTCAACGATTGTGGATGCCAGAAGTCCAAAATCAAGGTGTTGGCAGAACTGGTTCCTTCTGGAGACTCTGAGGGACAACCTCCAAGCCTCCTCCAGCTCCCAGTGGCTGCTGGAAGTCTTGGCATCCCTGGGCTGTCCCTGCCCGGCTCCCCATTCTGCCTCCATCTTCACAAAGGCTTCCTCTCTGTGTGTGTCTGCGTCCCCACAGCCTTCTGCCTTGCAGCTTTATGTCTTGAATCTAAGAACACTCGTCCTTAGATTTAGGGCCCATCCTAAATCCAGAATGATCTCATCTTGGGATCCTTAGCTGATTTTTATCTGCAAAGACCCTGTTTCCAAAAAGGTCTTATGACAGCTACTGGGACATTAAGACTTAGATATATCCATGGTGGAAAGAATATAATTCAATGCACTACACTGGCTCTGGGGAGAGACCCAGAAACTTCCATTTCCCCCCAAATTCCAATGACTAAACGTTTGTATTGTTTGTTCCCAAAACACCTCTGATAATCTGTAGATTGTACTCTGAGCAATACTTACCCAATTGCTGAGGATTCAAAGAGGAATAAGACACAGACCCTTCCCTTCGAGAACCTGCTGTCTAGGCGAAGATACACACAGATGAACTGGTGATTGAGACCCAAAGCGTGGCCTAGTAATCCTGAGCTCTGGGGTCAAACAGACCAAATTCCGCCCGCTTCAGATGTGAGGCTCTGAGCAAGGTCCTCAGCCTGTCTGAGTCACAGTTTCTTATCTGTCAATTAAGAACTAATTTCTACCTTATACATGGTGGATGGACTCAAGGAATAGCTTTTTGCTATTATGAAGGTGGGAAGCATGCTGCATTCCTTTTCACACCCCACAGGCTCGAGCTGTGTGTCCTCCGTGTCCTTAGCTGTAATAAATGTCTGAAGGCAAGACAGCATGTGCCCTGGAGAGACACAGCTAGGACAGGCAGGACAACTCTGGAAAGACCCCTTTCGGGATCTAGACTTCTTCTGCAAGTGTACTTTTGAGGACCTACTGTGTATGGGGCTCAGTGTGTGGGCACCTGGAACAAAGCCAAATGAAACACATAGCCTAGTGGGGAGACCAGAAGGCTGTAATACCATGTGGTTGGTGCAAGGTAGAGGCATCCTGGATCCAGGACAGCCATGCCCGGAAGTACTTCCTTCTTTGGTCTCACATCCTTCATATTCCACCTTCTAGGATTCTCTTAGTGTTTGTGGTATGACACTCTTCCCACACTATACTATATGCTTCAGGAGCTCTCTGAGGGCAGAAGGGGTTGTCTGTTTTCTTGGCCACTGCATTCCAAATACAGAGCAATGTACCTGACTCCTAACAGCCATTCTACAAGTATTTGCTGGAATAGTGAACATTCTGCTATTTCAGAGCTCAGCACTGGACTTCCAAGAAGAACCACCAATCAGACTACTCGGTCTGATTCTCCATGGGCCAAGAGAGAAGATCGGCAGAGTCTCTGTCCCCTGACAGAGGAGATGCATACAGACTGCATGACAATGTATCATATACTGTGCAGCTAATACTTACAGACAGAGTGGACAAGCTAAACTTGGGGAGAAGCTATGACAGCCCATTCCTCTTCAGAAATACAATGTTTTGCACACTAGACATTAAATACTGTTATTAGACTGAGCTGGAGGCCCAGGAAATAAAGAAGAAAGACAGTACAAGTTTTCCCTTCCAATACTCAAGAAAGGAAGACAGCAAACCATTACACCCCGACTGGGGCATAGTAGGATTAAGAAAAAGAAGGCCCAAGCGGGCCCTGACGGTGGGAATGGTCCTCAGGAGGGAAAGAATGGAGAATTGCTGGGAGATCATCAGCACAGCTGGGTACATGACTAACTGCCATCACAAATAATGGTAAGTCAGGAGGAGCAATTTACCTGTGAGACCTCAGCACCCCGCTGTCACCTGGAGAAGTCAGGCAGCCCACTCCCAGGCCCCAAAATTCTTAGAGTGGGTTGAAGGGGAAATCTCATAGGAGTGCAAAAGCCGACCCCAGGAGTGTTTATGACAAAAATCTTTGCGGGGCAGGGGGGCGGGGGGCGGCGGCGCGGGGCGCAGGGCATTCTCTGCTTCCACAAATCGAGTGAGTTCTGCACCAGTGCTTCCCGCCTTTGATAAACAGCCAGCCACCTTACACAAAGGTGGCCCACGGTAAATGCGTGTCGACTGAACTGATACCTGAATGAATGAAGGCTACGGAGGACCCTATGGAATCTCCTCCCCCTCCCCCAAACCTCCGCTGCAGGTGATTCCACCTGTCGCAGCACCCGGATTCACCCCCTGGCACCACCTTTCCGCCTCGGCACTGGGCGTCCAATCGCTTGGCTCCAAAACAGCGGTGACCGAGAAGGCAGGTGGGGCTTGGCTCCCACTCCCGGATCCGCGCTGCTCCCTCCAATCCAGGGCCAAGCCCTGCCCAGAGGGAAGGGCCCCTCCCAAAGGCAGGCACCAGCTGTCATGGAAGAAAGTGGCGCCCGGGCAGACGGGAAAGCGCGGGAGGAGCCGCGCACCTTGCCGGACGCGCGGGGGCAGCGAGCCGAGGCCACGGGGTGCGCGTCCCCCGCGAGCCCCCGCCCGGCTCGGCCACCCGGGAGGCGGGGGTGCGTGGGCTCGGGGCTGGTGGCCTCTCGGCCTGGCCCATCCCGCCTGGCCGGCGCCTCGGCCTCACCTCGCTCACCAGCCCCTGCCAGTCGCTCTCGGTCCGGTCGCCGTTCATGGCGTTCTCCTCCCGGCGAGGGCCGGCCTCTCTGACGCCGCCCTCCTCCGCCGCTGCGGCCGCCGCCGTCGCCGCCGCGGCCCCGAGAGGGCCCGGCACCTCCGAGCCACCGCGCCGCCGCCTCCTGCGGACGCCCGCGCTGTTGACTCAACGTCAGCCTCCGCGGGAGGAAGAGGAGGAGGAGCCGAGGCCCGGCGCCCGGCCACCGCCACCGCCGAGCGGGCCGCGGACCCCGATCCTGCGCTCTTGCTGGTCCGCGCCCCAGCCCGCGGGAAACTCCTGACCTCCGCTCTCCAGGCGGGAGGCGGCTCGGCTTCCCCCTACAAGAAGTAAATCCCCAAATCCAGCCGTTCCCTGACCACCATCACGGCTCCCACCACTAGAATATAAGCCCCACTCGGGCAGGGGGTTGCCTCCTTCTCTGATAAACCTTGGGTACAGGGCCTGGCACATAGTAGGTGCCCTGCAAATATCTGTCGAATCTATGGATGAATGAATTACGTGTTATTATATATTCAACGTAGTGTTTTAAGTTACTAATGTCTGTTTCTATTTATTTCTTGAATTATCAGCTGTCACGAATAAAACACAAATAAAGATATTGAAAATAAAACGGTAATGAATTCTAAATAGAAGCTAAAGCTCTGAATGTGATGCTTAATGTGTGTCAAAAGAGATGTTGAAGACAGTGGCATCAGACTGAGACTTTCTCATAAGTGGAAGGACTAAAAGGGAATTACAGAGAGCAGGGGAATCTTCATACATGTCTTGTCAGTATCATTGGAGGTGGTTTTCCCCAGTCACCTAAAATCCCGACCTGAACCATGACCAGCAGTGAGCCTTCCATACTTTCAGAAGCACTGCCTGTGGAAATGAGCATATAGGTTGAGAAGCTGTTAATCCATTTTACAGTTGTGAATGCATCGCAGCCAACATTTATTTTAGTTCCTAGTGATCCTGACTCAAACCTGCAGGATGGATGTTACTTCCATTTATTAGAAAAAGTGGAGAAACAGAGACTCAACTAAGACTTCTAGTTCCCAGAGACCCTTTCTAGCATCTTGGAAACCTGAAAATGAAGTATCACCCCTGGGAATTGGAAATATTGCATTGTATTGTTGGCCTTGTTTTATTGATGTGATAGGTTGTTTGCAAAATATCATCAATAATTTCCTGCCCATGTGGCAGTCAGTGTCCATAACTTTGACTCTAGGCTCAGCCATGTGACTTGCTCTGGCTACTCAATGTTTGCAAATGTGACTTGCTCTGGCAAAACAATGTTTGCAAATGTGCTACACAGGAGGCTTGTAAAGTGTGCAGTAGGGTTTATCCTTTCTATGCTCTTAGGAACCTGTGATCACCACCTTAGAAACCTGTGATCACCACCTTAGAAACAAGCCCAGAATAACTTGATGGATGATGAAGGACTCAGCCAACAACCAGTCAACTGCTACCTGTGAGTGAGGCCATTAACTCCCAGCAGCTACAGGTGCCTGCATGAGTCCCGTTGAGCCCTGCTGAATTTGCTGACCTACAGAGCATGTGCTAAATAAGCTGTTGTTGTTTCGAGCCACTAAGGTTTGGGATGGTTTGCTATATATCAACAGCTAATTCATGCAAATGGTTACACCGCTGATGAGGAGCCTGGATGACTGAACTCTTCCTTGCAGCCCTGGCATCATGACCTGTTGAGACCTCACCTAAAGAAGACTCAGGCAGGCCAGGGGCTATAGAAAGGAGCCAGTCTAGTAGGCAGCCCTTTGTAATCCAAGAGAGTGGAAAGGTCATCCCTGAGCTGAACATCTAGGGTTAACTCAGCATCAAACACTTGTTCCTAACAGCCTGATGGATGTCTCCTGCTAAGAAAGGTATTGTCTGCCAATATGTTGCCCTCTGGCAAACTAACTGGTTTCATTCCAACCTGTCAATGAAATAGACTGTAGGAAGAGTGGGCATATACCTTGGTCCACCTTGTGTTCCACATGCCTCATGTTCCACTGCGTCTTGCTCCTGGCTGGAATTCAGGTGGGGAAGCAGCCCGCCCCTTCCAGTTACCATGTTTCGCTGAGGCTTTCGGTACTGCTGTGGCTTTGGGGGCTTCACTGGTATTTCGGGCAGTGGGACAGTTGGCAAGCTGTTGGGAGCAAAGGAATCTTCACATGAGAGATCACGTGCTTTAGGGCCACTCTGTGACTGACTCTGTCGACCCTACTTGCTTTCCTTCTCTGAAGTAAGTCAGCCAGTTATTAAGGTGTCTAAAAATAAAACTGGGGAGGACAAATCAAAGAGTGGCAAGCCTCTTCCTGCCCCAGCATGTTGAGAAACTTTCAACTCACTTGAAATGGCATCTCCAGTTGCCTGGGTTTCCCTTAGAGGTTTTATGCCCCAACTGCCAGCTCGAACCTGCTTAGCTTGTGAGATGTGATGAAATCACACACCAAAGCAATGTAGCTGCAAGCGTTTCTTTTTTATCTCTTTTCATTTATGTAGCCTGACATTGAGTAATAATAATAATTAAACGCAGTTTAAGCTTTTAGGCACCTATACCAGGAGGCCTCTAGACATCTCATCAACAGCAGCCCAGGCTGACAAAAACAAAGGTAATTACATTGTGGTTAACTTTTTTCAAAGAAAAAAACAAAACCACCTAGCTACTGTCCTCACCTTTGATAAAAGTCGTACATCAAATGTTCCATGCCACAGTTCATTTGCATGGGACCAATTTAAAGCCAAGTGGCTTTGTCTTAAATTTGCCACCCTGGCACTAAGTATTGAAACATGGTCTTTGCCTCTATTTTCATACCCCACTTAACTCTCTGGAAAATCTCTAGGGACCCAGTTTTTCCATGTGTATTCATAGCCCCAGGGCCAGTTCTATTTATTTATTTATATGCATGTATAGTTAGAAGAAAGTCCTTAGGTGCTTTGGAGCAATGCTTAAAACTTTCAAAAGTTTGAGAGGGTTTTAGCTTCATAAGAAATTGAGCCAGCAGATACTAATGAAAACAAAACAAAATAAATCTCAGGAGAGAATGGGAAAGACAAGATCATTTGAACTTATCATTAGAAACCAAGACTCTCATTTCCGGTTCTCAACTGACTTATCAGATAAGTTTAACCAAGTCAAAACAGCTCTGGACACATGGGGAAGCCCTAAAGATTTTGACACAACTTCACCACGCAGTATTTTCAGTTCAAAGTCTGGCTTCTCAAGCAAAAATGTCAGCATTCTCATGAAAGGAAACTAAGCAAATCTTCAGTAGAGATTTTGGCTCGGCTCTTCTCCAAAATGTACAACTGGGGCAGTGTTCATGGCCACACTTTTCTCCTGCCTGTCTTAGGAAACCCAGTCTGATGAACCTGGGAAGGAAATGATTCTTAATAATAGTGGTTTATAGTGGTTTTTTATAATATAATGTTCAGTTCAGTCACTCAGTCGTGTACGACTCTTTGCAACCCCATGAACCGCAGCACGCCAGGCCTCCTTGTCCATCACCAACTCCCAGAGTCCACCCAAACCCATATCCATTGAGTCGGTGATGTCATCCAACCATCTCATCCTCTGGTGTCCCCTTCTCCTCCTGCCCTCAATTTTGTCCAGCTTCAGAGTCTTTTCAAATGAGTCAGCTCTTTGCATCAGGTGGCCAAAGTACTGGAGTTTCAGCTTCAACTTCAGTCCTTCCATTGAACACCCAGGACTGATCTCTTTCAGGATGGACTAGTTGGATCTCCTTGCAGTCCAAGGGACTCTTAAGAGTCTTCTCCAACACCACAGTTCAAAAGCATCAATTCGTCGGCGCTCAGCTTTCTTCACAGTCCAATTCTCACATCCATATATGGCCAGTGGAAAAACCATAGCCTTGACTAGGCAGACCTTTTGTTGGCAAAGTAATGTCTCTGCTTTTTAATATGCTGTCTAGGTTGGTCATAACTTTCCTTCCAAGGAGTAAGCGTCTTTTAATTTCATGGGTGCAGTCACCATCTGCGGTGATTTTGGAGCCCAGAAAAATAAAGTCTGACACTGTTTCCACTGTTTCTCCCATCTATTTGCCATGAAGTGATGGGACCGAATGCCATGATCTTAGTTTTCTGAATGTTGAGCTTTAAGCCAACTTTTTCACTCTCCTCTTTCATTTTCATCAAGAGGCTTTTTAGTTACTCTTCACTCCCTGCCATAAGGGTGGTGTCATCTGCATATCTGAGGTTATTGATATTTCTCCTGGCAATCTTGATTCCAGCTTGTGCTTCTTCTAGACCAGCGTTTCTCATGATGTACTCTGCATACAAGTTAAATAAACAGGGTGACAATATACAGCCTTGACGTACTCCTTTCCTGATTTGGAATTAGTCTGTTGTTCCATGTCCAGTTGTACCTGTTGCTTCCTGACCTGCATACAGGTTTCTCAAGAGGCAGGTCAGATGGTCTGGTATTCCCATCTCTTTCAGAATTTTCCACAGTTTATTGTGATCCACACAGTTAATATATTATTAATAATTGGCTCTACAGGAGCCAAGGTCCCCCGTTCTTTCTGTTGTCAATGGAGGGCCAAATTAGGCAGGGCCTGCCAAGAGCCCCCATGACCTGGTTGCTAAATGCCTTTCTTTATCTTTGACTTGAACCCGGGGCAGGGGACTGCAGGTCCCAGAGTGCACTGCAGATAACCTGGGGTTATCCCTAGGCCACTGGCCTCAGTTCTGTATAAATAAGCCTCTTCTCTTCCCTTTATCTGGGGATACTGTGCAAAGGGCCTCCTTCATCATTTCCCTACTAGGGCCAACAGCCAGACACCAGACAGACAGGGGATTCTAGCTGGATTCCTGACACAGAGCATTCTCTGTCTCTTAGCCCCCTGAGTTCTTGGGTGCTCTCTCTGCCTCCACTAAGCCTTCCCTGCCCAGCAGCAAACAATCAGTTGCAAGCTACTCCCCCCACCTCCAGCCCCGCTGACTGCCAATCAGCCGGGCAGCAGGGGGTGGAAGGAAGTTCCACTCCCTGCTGAACCTGCACTGAGGTACTCAAAATGACTGAGTGGGGCTGATGACGACCTGGCAGGCCAGGGACCGCAATTGCCATCAGAAGGAGTGAAGGGTGGGTGTGATTGCCTGGAGCATTGCAGGCAGGAGGTGGGGATGAACGGAGATAGAGAGGCAGCTCCTTTTACCTGTGGAAGGGTTCTGATAAGGGAGACCAAGATGTCAGGAGGAAAGGACAATGAACTGGAGATGGAAAGGGAGATGCAGGGCTTGTGGCTCCTGATAAGAGGCCAAGAAATCAACGAGAGATTATGAAGTAAGATTATGAAGTGAAGTAAGAAAGAAAAAGACAAATATTATATGATACCACTTATAGGAATGAATGACATGAATCTAAAACATGACGCAGCCCCTCCCTGATGGTTCAGTGGTAAGGAATCCGCCTGGGTTCCACCCCAGATTCAGGAGGATTCCACGTGCTGTGGAGCTCCCATGCACCACAACAATTAAGCCTGCACTCTAGAGCCCAGGAACCACAACTACTGAATCGACATGCTGCAACTACTGAAGCCCTAGTGCCCCGGAGCCCATGCTCTGCAACAAGAGGGGCCCTCACAATGAAAAGCCTGCATACCAAAACTAGAGGGTGGCCCCTGCTCGCCCGCAACTGAGGAAGAGCCCTCACGGCAACAAAGACCCAGCAGAGCCACAAATAAAAAGCTTTTTTAAACTGTGTAAGAAAACTTTAAAAATGAAATAAAATATGAAACAAATGAACCTTTCTACCAAACAGAAAGAGACTCACAGGTGTAGAGAATAGACATGTGCTTACCAAGGTGGGTGGGAGGAGGATGGCCTGAGAGTTTGGGATTACTAGATGCAAGCTATTACAATAGAATGGATAGACAGCAAGGTCTACTATATAGCACAGGGAACTAAAGTCAACATGCTGGGATGAACTATAATGGAATAGAATATAAAAAAAGAATGTATACATATGTGTATATATATACATATATATATAAGGACCTTACACACACACACACACACACATATATATATATAAACTGTGAGAAAACAATCTGAAAACCTTGGGCACAGGGGTTGGTGGGGATAAATCCAACCCCACCCAGTGTGGGAAGTGGAGTGAGCCATGGCCCAAGGAAATAAATGAAAAGGAGACAAGGAAAGTCATTCCACTCTCAGATTATTCAAATTTGTTGTACTTATTGATAATGTAGTTCATTTCTTCCACGTGGGGGGGATATGATTCAGCACAAATTTGATGTAAATTTATGGAAATAGAAATGCAGAGAGACTACTAGCGGGTTAGCAGCTCAGCTCTCACCCCAGGCTCGGGTTACCGCTCTCTGGACTTGGGGAACTGAAAATAGAAACGTCTGACTTGGGGGTTACTGGCCTCTCCTACGGGCCAAGAGAGGGACTGACCCTGTCGATTGGCAAGGCTTATTAAAAAAAAAAGAAAGAAAAAAAAGCCTGATGATTATCTAAAATAGGATCACCTACATTGTCCTCCTATCTGATATTTGTCTTTGGGTGGGGGGACAGTTTTTACCCAATGGAGATGGATGGGCTTATTTCAGTGAAAAGAAGGGGCAAACAAGGATGAGATTAACATTATCTAAGACCTACTGTGTACACAGAACTAGTGAAGTGACACAAATGTTTTTCCTCCTGTACCGTGGACGAATCATGGGGCTAGGGGGAAAAAAAAAGAAAAGAAAACAATTTTCTAGACAGGGTGAAAGGAGGCATTTCATACAAATGGCCAGAGCTGGTCAAATATTTATTGTCCATTAGGCTGTCCTTCAGAACACTGGGTGTTGATTTGTATCTTTCCCTTTTATACCAGGTCATGGCATTTCTCTAACGATGTGCCTCTCCCAGCTGGCAGCAGCCTCTCCAGCCTGGCCATGACCCTGACATCCAAGAGAACCTTGCACAGTTTGGGAATAGCTTCTCTGAGCCAAGCCTTACTCTGCAACCTGCAAGTGAAATGAGAGAAAATTCAAGAGACCAAGATACAAAGCCAGATCAAAGGGTTTTACAGCCCCTTCCTTCCCGCTAGAGATAAAGATTACTGGTACACTGGTTCTTGCTTTCCATCAAAGCAAGGATTCCTTTCAACATCCAAACAGT